TCACTGCATCCTCCGCCTCCTGGGTTCAAGCAATTCCCGCATCAGCCTCCTGAGTAGCGGAGATTAGAGGCATATGCCACCATGCCCGGCTAATTTTTGTATTTTTAGTAGAGATGGGGTTCCATCATCTTGGCCAGGCTAGTCTTGAACTCCTGATCTCATGATCCATCCGCCTCGGCCTCCCAAAATGCTGGGATTACAAGTGTGAGCCACCGCACATGGCCGACAGCAAATTATTTTAAAAGAAAAATTAAAAGAGACATTTGATAAATTATGCATTCATGCTACCTCTAGCCATATTATTTTTTCAAGAAAATATTCATTTCGGAGTTTTCATAAGTGAGACTAAAAATAAATACTTCAGCTAAATATATAAAATATTAACTGCATTATGTTCAAATTTGCTACAGAAAAAATTAACAAGTGAAAACCAAAACCTATTAGCTAACTTACTGAAATAAATCAGTTTCCAAAGGATATGGAAATTATTGAAAGAATAATGACATATAATTTTGGAAGTTTCTACACCTTTCTTATAAACTTGAGGTTTGTGGAGTTTAAGTTTAAATCAAAGTAAACTCAGTGAGTGAGTTCCTTGAAAAAAAAAAAAAAAAAAAAAAAAAAAAAAGGCATTGTAATAGGGCCCAATATGCAGTTGTCCTGTGGCCAAATTTGTCTCTTTATCCCAACGTGAAAAATCTACAGAAACATTTCGCTAGTTTGCTTTTATAACACATTGATCAAATTCTTTACCCTTAATTTTTAAAACCGAAACAAGCAACACCTTTTTAAAAAAAAATTGGGGGAATTAATAGTATATGTTACATGCTTTCCATATATTTCAAAAGAATAAAATTCATGTCTTTGTTGGTTTGCAGTTTTTAGTAAAGGACCAGAAGGAAGGGGAAGGTGTGGATGTTGCGTCTTTGGGTTATGTGTTTAGGAAGGGAGCAGCCAAGGATGCACCTGCCTTTGGCACTGGCATAGGCACTGGAACAGCACATGCCAGATGTCATCTCAGAAGAGGCAAGAAATACGTGAAACACACACAGCCAAGGAAACACAGCCTTACGCTGAAATGGTATGATTCCAAACAAAGACATAACTGAGTTTATGGTCAACATACCACCATGTGATACAATAAAATATTAACATTCTTGTTTTTCCAACTGACACTATATGATTATTTTTTAACAAGTGCAGCAAAGTATTTACTTTTTTTTCTAGGAGGAAATTAACATAGAAGCATGACTTAAGGTCATGTAATTTTACATTTGTAATACAGTGGAAAGATATAGCAAAATTTATCCTAACTTCAGGGAATAGAATTCAAAGTATTTTTAAATAGAGTATTTAAATATTGGAGGACTTTGATTTTAAAATCAGCTTTCAAAGCAAAGATTTCGTGTGGTTTACTATTCACTATTAACTATGCTGTGGCTTCTAATAAATGATTATGAGCCCACAGGGGATGAATAAGTTATGTCCTTTAGAATAATCATTCTAAAATAAACATTTAGAGGTTCTAGATATTATTTCAGGGTAAAATGAATTAGTTTATCCTTGCCTTTGATCCAGTACAGATGACTATGGGACATACTTTCTTCCAAGTGATTAGCTGACGGCAACTGACTCTGGTAAGGTTCCGCTGCTACTATAGGTGTACGGCTCCCCAAGCCAGACCTTACAAGAAGGCAGGGTGCAAAAAAGTGAGAGAGAGAGAGAGCACTGTTTGGTCACTATCAACCACCTTATCATGGAGAAACTAAGGAATGGAGATTAAAATAATTTTGATTAGTGCATATGATGTGGTGAATTCACACTCTGTTCCTATGCTCTCTGTTGATTCAGGCATCACTATTCCATTTCCAATATCTACTCATCCATCATACCACCAAAACGATATGTCCTAACAACGACAATAAAAACACAATCAGTTTTAAAATAAAAATTCTGACCTCTAGATAGGCTGAAGAGAACCGCTATAAAATAAATAAAGGAAGATAACAGATACACTTTATTTCCACCTTTCTCCCTCTTCTTCATGTAAATAATTTGTTAGAGTTTTAAAATATGTATTTCCCCTTCCTCAACAAAGTCTGGTCGATAAATGCAAGTGAGGAAACTAAAATCTGAAAAGACAAGGTTCATGCAGTCAACTGGAAAAGTCTCTACATTAAGTTGACAACTGACCCACTGTGGCTATTTCCAAGGTAGCATTCCATTGGCCTGGTATTGGCAATGTTGTGACAATAGTCTTTACTCTTTAACATTCATACTTTACCACATGAATGTTAAGCAGTCTCAGGACAAACAGAGGGTGGGGGCTTCTCTTTTCCTTAGAAGGATATTTTTCAATTATATATTTTGTTACATCTTGAGAGATAAAAGCTGTATCTGCAAGGGATTAAAAGATGTTTTATATTCATGGTTTCATTTCTGCTGAAATAAATGCGTAATTTATACCACACATAATTCATAGCGATTTAGGCCTATTACAGAGTTCTAGCGTCTTTTTTATGATAGTTACTAATTAAAGCAGAGTGTTACTGCCACACTGAGCCTACATCTGACATACAGGTTTAATGAATAAAATGTCCTGACACAAAAATGAAAGCAATAATGCAGACAAGGCTGCAGGCTGTTATGTTTCAAGTGTGTGGTAAAGATTAAGGGCATTCACTGAAGTGATGAACTGTGCAGAGAAGGACCTTGTAATTTCTTTCCTTAAAGCAAGAAGTAAAGGAATTTTTAGAGAATCTGAAATAGTACTAATTTCTCTAACTCCTGGGCCCCTCATTCCCAGTTGTCCTTCTCTCCCCTCCAAGAATTTAAACTCATAAGAGTCACTTTTGAAGAATAAATGATGGGATATTTTAATATAATCCTGAATATAGGTTTAGATTGAAAATGGGAATTGGGACCATAATTAATTATGTTGCCAAGTTTTTTAAACTTTAAGAAGACAGGTGGAGGCAAATGACATTGTATAAGAGTGCAATCTTCTAAAGGTTCACAGATTAAAACTTTGGTAAAAGGACAGTATATTTTTTGGCATTTGATTAATCCCATATGCAGAATGACTGAAGAATTAATATCGTTTTGATGTTTTCATTTTCTGAAACCACTGTAATAAGAGACCAACATAAACCAAACCAAGTATAAGCACAATATTAGCGAGGGTTGTGGCCTTATTATCACTCTTAACAATCAATAATGAATAATCATACCGACCGCCGTCACTACACTCTGATTTATACAAATATTCCCTCTCGGATCCATCTATCACTTCTTTCAAGATAATAAAATAATTCAATCCCATCAAATCCTCAGCAACCTCTCCCTCAGGAGGGATGTTTTATCTGTACTTCTGTGAGCCCAGGGAGGATTTTACTCGTTTGAAGGGGGCGGAGAATGGAGCGGGGTCCTATTTATTTCCATTGATGACTCCCCTGGTTCTCACAGGCGCTCTGGGACCGGGTGGGAGGAGGAGAGGAGGAGGTGCGGAGATTCCCTCCGTCAGAAAAGAAAAAGGGTTCAGGAAGCGAGGCAGGAGGAGGGGGGGTGAAGGGGGGAATGAGAGGGTAGTGTGTTTGGAGAGAGCAGCAACTAAATGAAAAAATAAATTCTTCATCGACAGATGAAAAGCAAATTTATCAGCCCAACAAAGTTGCTTAAAAGATCTGTGTAAATAATTAAAAAAAAAAAAAAAAAAAAAAAAAAGAAGAAGTAAAAAGCATAACAACAACAAAACCCCAGACACATACTCAGGTTCATTTCCCGCTCAAGTTCTTGGTTTTAGGGAGCCCTCGGTACCCAACAGCAAGAAATGGACAGCGCCCCGAAGGGGGCCGGGAGGGGAACCGCGACTTCGCTGGAGGGACCGCTCAGCGCCAGCGCAAGGGCGCCCGCGGCAAACTCCGAGGAGCTGGTGCGGGGCGGGTCCGGGGAACTGCGGGGAGCTCTCACGCCTGGGCCTGGGATAGGGTGCGGGAAGGAAGGGAAACCGAGAGCGCGCAATGCAAAGAAACCGCACCCAAAATTCAGCAGTTTGCAAAGTGCCTCCAAGAAAACAGCTGGGACCTGGAATCCCTCGTTGTAGCGGCCGCGGCTATTCAGCTCAGGAGAAAAGGTAACGCGGCTGAGAGCGAGCTCCAACTCACGCACAGACTGGGCGCAGGCACGAAGCCGAGTCTCCGGGCTGGAGCGGGAGGGGGCGTTGTCCCCTCGGGGGCCGCTCTGCTCCCTGCAAGAAAGTGTGAGCCGGTCCCAGGCCACCTCGCTCAACCAGGGAAGTTTCTCTAACGATGCTCGCCTACCACGCAGAGGGCAAATGAGGAGCCAGAGCGGTTGAGGGACGGCCGAGCTCCCGGCCGAGCTCCCGGCCCCGGCTGCCCAGCTCCCAGACGCCCTACGGGAACCCGCGCGCTGCCTGGACCTCTAGCTTTTCGCCCCCCCAACACACGCCCTACGCAAAATCCACTCCCGCTGACTTTCCCTAGCGGAGGGCGGAGGGCATGAACCCGGAGAGGGAGGCAACAGCCCTCTTGGCAGGCGGGCAAAGTAAGTGTGCAGGCCAAGTCCGGGATAAAGGCTCCACGGCTCCCGGGACCCCACAGTGCCCCGAGCTCCCCTCCCAGGTCTTCCCCGCCCGTGCGCTGTCTGTCCACCTCCTCTCGTCTCTCCGGGCCGCCTAGCTTGAAAAGCAGCTTAAAAAAAGAAAGAAAGAAAGAAAAAAGAATAGAAAAAGAAAACAACAACAACAACAACAACAACAACAAAAACAAAACCGAGGGAAACCTGCTTCTGCCCCTCATGTCCTCAGCTCCTACGGATAGGGCGCCCTCGAGAAGCTTGTTGGACCCTTACGATTTGGGGGCGCGCGCCTCAAGCCCCCATCTCGGATGACCCTTCGGGTGTGAACGGTCCTTGTGCTAGGTTTCGGGGTGGCGGGCTAAGGCGTCGGGGCTCTGGGACTTTGCTTTCCTCTCCCCACTTACCTTAAAAAGATCTGTTTGTTTTTCGTAGGGAAAAGAGGAAAAATCCCTCCCAGAGGTGTGGTGTGCGAAATAGTCCACGTCCCCAGACCCTGCCAAGATGCTTAGCACCAGTATTCAGGAACAAGGAACCTGGAAGGCGGGGACGGAGGCAGATAAAAGAGAAAAATTCAATCCGATGAAGTGTCCCAACTTTGCGGTCGCCACAGCAAACTTTAAAGGCGGGCGAGGGCGGGCTGCGCGCGGCCGCCGAAGTTGCTGCGAAGTGGAGCCGGGAGCGGCGCGGGGCTGGGGAATCCCGGGGCAGAGCCGGGAAGCGGCGGGAGGTCCTTTTAAACCGCTGGGAGCGTGCGGGGGCCGGGCCGCGGGAGGATGCCGCAGCGGCCCGCGGGGCTGGCGCTGGCTTCGCGGGCGGCCAGGAGCCGCACAGGCGCCTGGCTGGAGCGCCGCGCGGGGTGCGGAGAGAGCCGGGCGCACGGGGCGGCAGCGGCGGTGGCGGGCGCGCTGCTCAGTTAGCTCTGCTCTCTCGCGGCTCGAAGCGGGGAGTGTTTGTTCGCTCCCGAGTGTCACTGCTGAAGCCCAGAGGCTCTTCCCCTCCCAGCACTTACCCTCCCGCCTCACCGCTGCCCGCCCGCCCCCTCCCTCCTCTGCCCGCCGCTTCCCCCTCCGTCCCTCTTCTCCCTCCCGCTGCGCGCCAGCGCGCGCTCACTCACACACACACACACACACACACACACACTCATACACACACTCGCACTCTCTCCCTCTTCTCCTTGTCGCCCTCCCCCCTCTTTCTCTCACATACACCACCCTGCTCAGCGACCCAGCGCTCCCCAAACAGGACCCTCGCAGGCGGCAACACAAGGGACACCCTGCTGTCCTAACCTCCCCGCCACTCGGGGAGAATGAGGGAGGCCCACCGAACCCTCTGGCGAAGCTTGCAAAACCCAGGAGACGCGCACGCGGGACCATCACACTGTCAAGGAGACTGGGGTGCACAATAGAGGGAAACTCTGGGGGCAGGAAGGGGGACCTGTTAAATCCAGAAGGTTGGTGGTTGGAGGCGGAAAGCAGAGTGTGCAAACTGTGCATTCATGTCCCACTTTTCACTCGAACGCCTGCGTACCACAGCCTTCACTCGGGGAGCGCTTCCCCCTCGGCGCAGACCGAGCCTCCTCCGGTTTGAAACTCAGCAGCTGTTTTAACAATTGAAAAGCGGCCCTACAGTACCAGTGAAACCGAGCAGTGTGTGTGAAGCCATTAAGGCTGACTAGGTAATTATGATAAGAAGTTACCTAATTAGCAACCTGGCCTGGGCTTAGGAAAATGAAGGAAAAAAAAAAGTGCTGTATGATTTAGTGATCTCCTTTTTGCAACTAAGAACCTGGTTTCCAGCAAACCTGGTTTTACATTATACAAGTTCTAATAATATATATTATTTATTAAGAAATAGTGTCAGTATTGAAAACACTAGATCTATTATTGCCACAATGAAATTAAGGTACATAATATGAAAATCAGCCTTACCCAGGTCGTATTAAGAACTATGATCTTTTTTGTTAACTAGCTAGTCACAGAGGGTGGACCAATGCAGCTCCTGAAGTTTTGTGGCTCCTAGATGAAAGTACTGCAGGAAATGGATTTATGAAACCGTTTATATGTCACAAAGTAGTTTTGTAAAATTTTTAAACTCTAAAAAGGACATTTGAGATCACTGTGCAAGCATATTTTTTTTTTGCAGATGAAACAATGAGGTGGGAAAAGTCCTGTACTTAGGAGATGGGATCTAGAGCGGATCGCTGGGTCGTTCATTAACAAAAACTTATGAAGTCCCTGCTGTGTACCAGGTTTGTCTATCTTAGATGCTGAGATTTAGAGGTGATGGTGCTGCCTTTAAGGAACTCACCGCATGTTAGGGAGACAGAGGCATAAATGAAAATGTGATTAGCACTATAATAAATGCAGGTACCTAGTCCTACCGTAGCATGGAAAAGGAAACAGCTAATTCTCCTTTAGAAGCTTCTCTTGGTGGAGATTTCCATGTAGGGTTCTGAAGGACAAAGAAGAAATACAGGGCCAACAAGGATGTGGTGGGAGGGGGAAGGGCATTCCACAAACAGAGGCAAGTGACCAGGTTAAGAAAGTGTCAAAGCACATGGTGTGTCCTGGAACCTGGGAAACTAGGTGTGGCTGGACTGCAGGTGAAGTAAGCAAAGCCATACAAGGCTCTTTGGGTGTAAAGAGCCAGAACTTGCCTGGAGGTGGTGAATAGCTGGGAAACTATTAAAGGTTTTAAGGTAGGACAGATTTTAAGGTTTTTAAGTATTATCAGATAAGGTGTTTCAGAAGGCTTCCTCTGGTTTGACTGTGCAAGACAAATAGAAGAGAGATCACAGTGAGGGGGTTATATCCAGAGGAAAAACTAGGTCTGAACTAAGGCCGCGGAAATGCCATTTGGGAGGCTGGGACAGCTCTAGAAATATTTAAGAGGTAGAATAGACTAGGAATTAGTGATGGATTTGACATAGAGGGTAATGGAGAGAACAGAGTCTACATTGACTCCCGGTTTTCTGGCTGGGGCACCAAAGCAGGGATGGTGCCACTAACCAAGAGAAACACAGGGAGAGGAACAGTTTTAGGAAGAATGTAATGAGTTCTGTCTTAAACTTGTTGAGTTGGGGGTGCCTCTGTGACATCTGAGTACTCTGCCTTGTAGGCAGCCAAAAGGGGAGTTCCTAGGAGAGTAGACAGGAGCTGGAAGGATACATTCCGTTGTTTGGCAAGCATGGGGGAGGAGTAAGGCAGCCAGGAAGAGAAGACTTAGGATGGGACATGGAAGAACATTAATGTCTTAGGCATGGATAAAGGAAGAGGACTCTGCAAAAAAAAAGGGATGAAGATCAGGGAGGAAGGCTAAGAGAGCAGGACTAAGAAGAGCAACCCCAAGGCACATAATTGTCAGATTCACCAGCGTTGAAATGAAGGAAAAAAATGCTAAGGGCAGCCAGAGAGAAAGGTTGGGTTACCCACGAAGGGAAGTCCATCACATTCACAGCGGATCTCTCGGCAGAAACAAGTCAGAAGAGAGTGGAGGCCAATATTCAAGCCAAAAGAGAGTGTGGGCCAATATTCAACATCCTTAAAGAAAAAAAAAAAAAAAAGAGAGAGAGAGAGTGGGAGTAATGAAACCAAGGTAGGACAGGGCTAGTAACCAGGGTAGAATGAGGTGGACAGATCAACACAACCAGACTGAAAAGCTGCTGCTCCTCTTTACAAAACATCTTCGTAATCTTGACCTATGCAATTGCAGTTTATACTGTATGTGTGTAAAGATCAATTCCCTCTTTGGTACAGTGGGGCAACACTATCTACCCCCATGCATTTTACAGAATTGATTGGGAATTCAAATGAACCAGTGACTGGGGTATTGATTTAAAATTGCCATTAGGAAGAAACTGAGTGCTAATAATGTTAGAGAGCATCATTAATTCAGGCAATTAATGACAGACCTGAGTATATAGAAAGTTCTGTAAGGACTCTGTGATGAATTTTCATGAAAATTCATCAAAATATCTGTGTTTTGAACATCAGGATTTGTCTTCTCAAAAAATATGCCACCAATAAAACCAATGGCATTGTACATATTTATATTCACATATATATGTAAGTATCTTCAGTGTTTTGAGAGACTTGGACAATGTGCCATATTAGATAGAACATGCATTATTTAGCCAAACAGGCTTATATTTAATTCTAGACTCTGAAAATTACTTGCTGTAGGACAAAACCTCTTTGAGCATCAGCGGCTTTTTTTCAAATAAAAAAATGGAATAAATTATAGTTGACTTACAGATATTTTGTGAGGATTGGGTAGTGTAACATATTCAAGTGTTTGCAAGATATTTACTTACTTATTTATATCTGCATTTACTTTTAAGCCAGGACATTCATAAATATGCAATTGGAGAAAAAGCTCAAAATGACTATAAAACCAAGAGTGAATTTAAGTCTAGGAGAACTCCTACTTCAAACCTATGTTTTAAGGTAACAGTCCTCAAAGTGTGGTTCACAGACCCGTGGGAGTTTCTGAGATCCTTTCAGGGGAGGTCTGCAAGGACAAAGCTGTTTTCATATTGATTCTAAGACATAATTTGCCTTCTTTGGCTGTGTTGACATTTGCACCAGTACAAAAGCAATGATGAATAAAACTGCTAGCACCTTAGCCTGTTCAAAGCAGTGACGCCCAACTATCCTAGTAGTTATTGTATTTTTTACTGCCCCAAATGTCAGTTTTACTTAAGAATGTCTTTCATAAAGCAGTAAAAATTACTCAATTTTGTTAAATTTCATCTCTTGACTGTCTTTTTAATCTTCTGTATGGCAAACTGGCAGGCACAAATAAAGCTCTTCTGTAGCATGCCAAAGCACAGTTGTTTTGTCCTGAATGAAACATTTATGTAATTGATTTGTGAGCTAAGCTACCTGCTTTTAAATGTGACATATTTTTACCTGAAAGAACAACTGACAGATGAGCTATAGTTATTCAGACTTGGATACTTGGCAAAATACTTTTTTTTACACAAATGAATGAAGTCAGCCTGTCATATCAAGGCAAACAAACAGCAATATTTATTTCCAATGAAACATTTGAGCTTTTGAGTAAAAAATTAGCATTTAGAAAACTTGTATCTGTCACCATGAACTTGATAGTTTCCCGGTACTTAAAGTCTTTTCTGTTAGATCGTGATCATTTAAATGAATGTGATTTTAGGTTTTAGATATCGTACAATGAAATGTATCAACATTTAGAAGATTTGCATAACTCAGTGAACAAGTATTTTCCAAATGACTAATAATGCACGATGATCTAAAATCATGGATAAGGAAAGGATCCATTCAAAGTGCAAAATAGACCAATGGGTTTTAATATAACACAGTATGAAAAATTAACTGATATGGTTTCATATTCCATACTGCAATTAGAAGGTTTAAGAAATACCATTTGTTGAGTTATTGTGTAGCATTAAAGGAGAATATCCAGAATTGCTTGAAAATATTATTAAAATGTTTCTTCATTTTCCAACTATGTATCTGTGCAAAATTGGATTTTCCTCATATATTTCAAACAAAACAACAAATTGCAACAGATTGAAAACAGACATAATATGGCAATTTAACTGTCTTTTATTAAACCAGACATTAAAGAGATTAACAAAAATGTAAAACATTTCTTTGGAAAATAATGTTATTTTAATATGTAGTAGGTTTACTATAGTTATTCAGATGAATGAATATTTTAAAGATTTCTGTTGTAATTCATATGTTGAATATTGACAGAAATAATCTATATAACAAAAGCTCCTTGGGATCCTCAATGATTTTCAGACTGTCAAGTGGTCCTAAGAATGACTGTCATGTGAAATAGGCTGAGTCATGAAAGAAGGTTGAAAGATCATTGGAAGCTTATAGTAATATTCTGTCTATAGATTGGCCATCACCTCAGTTGTATTATGCAATACAGTTCTCATTTTACACAAATGTAAATAGAA